TTCAGCAGGTCAGTGTGTGTTTGTGTATGAAAGCTAACTTTTAAATGTCACAGTCTGTTCAGTGTCTGAATTTCTCTCTCTTTAGCATATTAAATCAACTCTCGGCTCAATGAACGCGGGGTGGGAAGTGACGGAGGATGCCTTCTATGCTCATACGCCTTACGGCCAGCTTCCCTTTACCAACATAATTGCAACTCTCAACCCTGCGGCCAAACGTCAGTTGGTTCTGGCCTGCCACTTTGACTCCAAATACTACCCTCCACAGTGGGACGGCCATGAGTTTCTCGGAGCAACGGATTCTGCTGTTCCCTGCTCTATGATTCTGGAACTGGCAAGAGCCCAAGATGATGACCTAAAGACCTTGAAGGTTTGGCAGTGTACACAGGAACTAGGGCTGGGTCATCATGATTGAACAACTAGTGATTGAGATTTTTCTTTCATGTTTTTATTTTGTAATATTTATACCAGATGTGCTTTGCTTTAGCTGTGTGACTGTTTTCACAGTATTTTTTTTTTATGTTTTTTTTTAATGTTTTGGCATATGAAATTAAAGAGATATTGATGAGTAAAGTAAACTAAGGACTCATTAGTTAGGCTCATTGGAAAAAACATGCTCGGTAGCTCACCTGCTACAGCGCTGTGGAGCACTCTGGTACGAGTCCAGTGAGTCACACATATAACTCAAGTGAGTTATACATTTACCAATCTCTCTTTTTCAGTTGGTAGCTGAACTTTAATTTGTGCCAATCATGAGATTAATTTTGCATTTATGTAATAAGTGACATTATTTGTGCTGTATTCTGTAGTGTCACAGGTAGATGGCAGCATGTGTGTGTCTTGCTGTTTCTCACAGGACTCTGGGTCAGATCTGTCTCTGCAGTTCTTCTTCTTTGATGGAGAAGAGGCACTTTACGAGTGGACATCTGAAGACTCTCTGTACGGCTCCCGTCGTTTAGCCCACAAAATGTCGACAACAGCACATCCACCGGAAGCCACCAACACCAGCCAGCTCGACGGCATTGTACAGTTCCCTCACAGACATGAATACATTGACATACAGCCAGACTAATCTAAAAATAACTTACTGCATCATACTTATTGTTAGAAAAATGTTTTCTATTTAGTCTATTCTTATTAATTTACTCATCCTTAAGTTGTTCCAAATCTGTATACTTACTTTCTTACTTGAAAAACTAAATTAGATATTTTGATAAATAGCCTGGCCCAGGTACTGTTAAAGTGGCCCATATGACTTATGTGCTGTGTTATAAGATTTCTGGAACTTTGTGCGAGGAACACACTAATATTTAATTTGTTATTCACTGATAGGCTTTCCTTCTGCTGTAGCTCGCAGATTACATTTGTACTTCCTCATGAGATTTTTCACTGAAGAAAGATTTCTCTTGGTTTCTCCTACACAGCTATCTTCCTTCTGCGCTATCAGCAGATATATTTTAGATGCAAATGCATCATTAACCATGAATATAGAATTTGAATATAGAACATAGAGTCCTGAATTATGTTGTATATGCAAATGGACAATCACATACACTCTCTGGAAAAAGGTACAAAAGCTTTCACTGGGGTGGTACCTTTTTAAAATGGTACACTTTTGTACCTTGTTTACACTCAAATTGTGCATATTGGTACCTTAAAGGTACATACTTGTACCTAAATGGTACCTATTAGTACCATTTGAAAGGGTACTGCCACAGTGACAGCTTTTGTACCTTTTTTCTGAGAGTGTATTGTGAATGTAAGGTTAAAGAGCATGAATGCAAGCAAACATTGACAAACTACAAAACTGGTTAAAGTCTTTCATTCATTCAATTTCTCACCAGGATTTGTTTGTTCTACTGGACTTGATCGGAGGTCCAAATCCTCGCTTTGGTAATCAGTTCTCCAGTACGACCCGATGGCTTTCCAGACTACAAAAGATTGGTTAGTATTTTTCTGCTCTGTTTTCTTGTGTCACGTCTTTTTTCCCCTCTGGTTTCTCTTTTTTACCTTCAAAGAAATTTAGGTGGGTTTTGTTATGGATGACAAAACATTACAGGTCAAGGTTTGTGGAGACTGTGATACACTACCATTCAAACATTTGGATTAAGTAAGATTGAAAGATAGAAAGATTGACTTCCATTCAGCAAGGATGCATTAGATGGATAAAAAGTGACAGTAAATACATATATTATGTTTATGCTTTTATGATTTAGTATGTCAGTCAACACATCAAAATAAGTGTTTTTCCTTTCAACATCAATTCATTTATTATAAAACGGATAGTTCCGGTCCTTGATTCTGATTGGTTGAATATCCGTTCGAAGCTGTTGTAAATTACACTACAAACATACACCTTTGTTTACGTCTGTGTGTTGCTCGGCAACCACTTTGTTGGAGCCACAACTGTTTCTGAGGAACTACATTGTTTGGTGGAAGAATACTGTTTTTATTTACACTGAACAAAATTATAAACGCAACACTTTTGTTTTTGCCCCCATTTTTCATGAGCTGAACTCAAAGATCTAAGACTTTTTCTATGTACACAAAAGGCCTATTTCTCTCAAATATTGTTCACAAATCTGTCTAAATCTGTGTTAGTGAGCACTTCTCCTTTGCCGAGATAATCCATCCACCTCACAGGTGTGGCATATCAAGATGCTGATTAGACAGCATGATTATTGCACA